GTCTGTAACAGTCTGTAACTGTCTGTACCTGTCTGTCTGTACCTGTCTGTACCTGTCTGTAACTGTCTGTACCTGTCTGTACCTGTCTGTCTGTATCTGTCTGTAGGAGTGATGATGTGTCCAAAATGGCTGACAGAAGATGGTTTTGAGACTCAGCTGGCTGTCAATCATCTGGGTCACTTCTTAATGACCAATCTGCTGCTTCCGAAACTGAAGAGCTCCGCCCCCAGTCGAGTGGTCAATGTGTCATCCATCGCCCATCGGGGAGGTTTGACCTCTGACCTCTGTTTGACCTGTGACCTCTGTTTGACCTCTGATGTTTGTTGTTTTTAAACCTCATCCATGGTTTTTTCTTCAGGTCGTCTCGACTGTGACGACCTGTTCTTCAGCAGGAGGCCGTACAGCTCACTGGAGAGCTACCGACAGAGCAAACTGGCCAACGTCCTGTTCTCCAGAGAACTGGCCCGACGACTCAGAGGTCCCCGCAAACACTAAACACTTGAAACAACACGATAGTTTTTAAACCACAAACTGTAATTAAAGATGGACGCCATGACGCCTCCCAAAGTGAAGACAAACTTTCTCAATCGCCCCCTGGTGTCTGGCTGCAGTATAGGTCATAAACCATGCCTCCTCCATGTTAGCAGATGAGACATTAATTAGTGATCGAGAGCATGTGTGGGCGGGACCTTAAAATCACTGCACAGACTCTGAATGTAAATTACATCATGGCAGTGTTTGTATCTTTATTTACATCCAGTACTGACTGTGTACGTGGTCTTCAGGTTCTGGAGTGTCGTCGTTCTGTCTCCACCCGGGTGTTATCCGGACTGAACTGGGTCGTCATGTTCAGGGCTGGTTCCCCCTGCTGGGGGCGCTGCTGAGCCTCCCCTCCCTGCTGCTCATGAAGACTCCCAGTCAGGGCGCTCAGACCAGCATTTACTGCTCCATCACACCGGGTCTGGAGGAACGATCCGGATGCTACTTCAGGTAGAGGCTGGGGGTGGAGTCTGAAATAGAATACACACACACTGTTGAGTTTCATGGCGCAGGTGTTTCACAGAGACTTCTTTACATCGTTTATTTAATATGACTGATTTATTATTGATCCATGAGCTTGTCTGTGAAGATTCTCAGCTGTCATGGGGACACTGCGTCTTTAGGAGTTTGACATGTGGAGATACAAAGAGAAAATGACGTTGTCCTACACAATGCTTCTTCAACTGTCTCATGAATGATGACTGAGGAAGACAGAGTCAAAAGCTCTGGAACAGAAATAAACTCATTTTATCACATTAGCTGAATCTGAAGATATTTTCAGACATGAATTGAGGTTCTGACGTTTTCCTCAAATGTTCAGGAGGTTCTGTATGTGAGAACACAAACGTCTTTTAATAAAATGTCTGAGTACGTCCATGTGTGTGTGTTCAGTGACTGTGCAGAGAAGGACGTCGCTCTGGAGGGGCGGGACGATGCTGTGGCAAGGAGGCTGTGGGAGGAGAGCGCCCGATTGGTTGGATTAAAGGACACGTGCTGACTTCTGGGAACGGCAGGGGGAAGTGAAGGATCAGACAACAGCGCCCCCATCGGGGAAGAGCACCAGCATCACTGTAATTGACATCTGACTAGAGCCAATCAGAGGCATCAGTTCAGAGTGATAAGAATCTCAATGAATCTAACTTCACTTCATCTCATCACAATAAATATTCATCAGTATTCAGTGAATATGAAATAAAAAGAGAGTGGGTGTTCTACGAGGACCTCCTTCATGTTTGGTTTGTGGATTAAATATAATGTTGTTGATATAATGTTGATGTGTCATAAGTTTTATCTTTTTTAATACAGAAGTTAAATAAGTTACATTCATTCAGTTTTATCTTGAAGAAAAAACAATCTAAAGAAAAAGTTGTTTTAGTTGAACGCATGAATTTTGTATATACTTAAAAAGAATCTTCTCCACAAACCTCAAACATCAATCAGTGGTTACCATGGAGACCACAGAGACGAGCAGCGGGTGGCCGGTCGGAGGTTGAGCTGGTTCTGTTGACAGGACGTTAGCATGGTGGCTAACTGCTGTTCATTTACACACACTGTGACCTCATTGCAACATAAAGAGACGGATTAGTTCAACACTGATTCAATCAACACTGAGATAATCATTTTTATTTTTTACAATTGAAAAATCAAACGTCATTAATGGTTTATTCATTTTTTAAACTCTGAATCTAAACGGAGTTCATGTTCATTTATTCAATTATTACATCATTTAGAGTCAAATAGACCATAAAGCACCGGATGTAAGGGGGGTGGATACCACAGTGTGATTGACAGCTAAAACTATCCAATAGGTACAGGTGGGCGGGCAGTGTCTACGGGCCCCAGTCAGGCTCCACCCCCCACTCCTCCAAATATGGTCACTTCTGGCTTCAAAAACTGAGGCCTTAAAACAGGTGACGTCTGATCTGTGGGCGTGTCAGTAAATAATCTGCACATCTGTCTGACCCACTTTACAAACATCTGTCCACACACACACACACACACACACACACATATATATATATATATACATATTATACATGTGTAAGAATGTGGACACCTGATCACATAACATTTAACCGGTGGAGGGCGCTGTGGGGCTGCCGAGGAGCCGCTGAGCCAGCGGGGAGTCCGGAGGAGGAGGAGGAGGAGGAGTAACCGGACACCGACTCACAGAGCGGCCCCCGGCCGGTCAGAGAGCAGCGGAGTCCGGCGGCAGCAGCAGGGAGCAGCGGGGCGACGAGGGGAGCCACACCGAGCACCGACAGCTGAGGAGCGGCCGAAGCGGACTTTACCCGCTGTTACCGGCTCATCGTCTCCTCCTCCTCCCGCCCCACCGAGGACGGATAACGGAGTTACCAAGAAGTGAAGTCCCGAAACCGGCAGCATGAAGAAAAACTGCTCCGGGAAACGGGTGAGTGCAACCGGAACCGACCCCCATACCGGCCGCGCGTGACGGTTATTTTAATCACGTTTAACCTGAGTAAGAGGAACAATAGGATTCTCCTTTGAAGCTTTTATTTTGAAGGAAACTCTGACCGATACATCAATCCACTTCCGGTTTTCACAATAAGAGCGGTTTAAAGAGGAAAAGTGAGAAAAAGATATAAATACACAATAAACCGACAACAAACATACAATAAACACACAACAGATTTAAAACAGGCATACAACAAATACACAATAAACACAACAGATACACAACAAGCATAAAATAAACATACAACAAATAAACAACAGATTTACAACAAACATACAATAAACATACAACAGATTTAAAACAGGCATACAATAAATACACAATAAACACACAACAGATACACAACAAGCATACAATAAACATACAACAAATAAACAACAGATTTACAACAAACATACAATAAACATACAACAGATACACAACAAGCATACAATAAACATACAACAAATAAACAACAGATTTACAACAAGCATACAATAAACACACAACAAACATACATTAAATACACAACAAACATACATTAAACACACAACAAACATACATTAAATACACAACAAACACACAACAAACATACATTAAACACACAATTAACATACATTACACACACAACAAACATACATTAAACACACAACAAACATACATTAAACACACAACAAACATACATTAAACACACAACAAACTTACATTAAACACACAATAAACACACAACAAACTGATAAAAAAGATTGAATAGTGGAGATAAAAGAAAGTGACCAGTGTGACGAGCTGAGTCATCTATTACAATTTAGGTTGAAATCTTTAACCTGACTTCACTTCCTGTTTCCTGTGTACAGGGTCCACAGGATTCTGCTTCACAGAACCTTCAGCCCGATAAAGTGGGCTGGATCAGAAAGTTCTGTGGGAGAGGGATCTTCAGAGAGATCTGGAAAAACCGGTTTGTGGTTGTGCGAGGAGATCAGCTGTTCATCTGTGAGAAGGAGGTGAGTTAAAAGGGGCGGGGCCACATCGTTAGCTAATAGTTGGAGGGGATCAGTAGCTGGTGCCTCGTTTAGAACTTTAATTGTTGCCATGGTGATGCGGTGTCATGTGCGATGCTCCACATCCTGTTTTTTTATGGACTTACAGAACATCTGCAGGTTCTAACAGACCTGGTTCTGATGTTCTCTGTTCCAAGTTTAAAGGATCACTTTAAACAAACAGATTTGGTGTCCAGGTGTGTAGTACTGTGTCGTACTGTGTAGTACTGTGTCGTACTGTGTAGTACTATGTCGTAGTCTGTAATGTGTGTGTGGTTCTGTGTGGAACCAGAATGTTCCTCCTCCACTTTCTATGGTTGAAATTCTGCAGGAGTCAAGTTTCAGTCTGAGCTGCAGACACACAGAGGTCTCTGGTTTCACTGCTGTAACAGGACGGAACGTCCTCACAGAACCTTTATCACACACAGAACATCCTTGTAGAACCCTAAGCCTGAAAGCCTCTTATCATTTCTGCTTTCAATCGATTTGCTAAACGCGACAAAAGCTTTGTTGCTGAAATTGAAAAAATATCTGAGAGAAGTTCTAGAAATGGAGGAGGTTCAGACAAGGTTCTGAATATTGAGCTGTGATAGACAGAAGATCAAGGACCCAGGACGCTGCCCTGTGGAACCTCACTCCTCAACGTCCTCACAGTGGTTCAATGTTCAGACCATTTTAATTCATGAGAAACTTCTGCTTTCAGCAGCTCAACTTCCTGTTTGACCAGGAATAGAAACACTGTGTGACACCAGAGAAACCACACACACACACACACACACACTCACACTAACACACACACACACACACACATTTGGGGGGGGTGTCAGATCACGATTTGATGGGGAAACCTACTTCACTCAGGTATATAGGCGTGTGTGTGTTTGTAGTGTGTGTGTGTGTGTGTGTGTGTGTGTGTGTGCGTGTGTGTGTGTGAGTGTGAGTCCACTAAACAATTCTGGAGTCTCAGGGGTAAATTCAAGGTCAGAGGTCAGACTCATCATGTCAGAGGCTGAACTCTGGTTATTGAACATTGATCATTTAACGACTGACAATACAGACAGAGTGTGAGAGTGTAGTGGGTGTGGCCTCTCTCCCAGGAAGTCTCAGTTTAAAGCTGGTTAATAATGGATGTTGTTTCCATGACGATCAATGAGCTGCAGTTTAGCTTTTGGAGACACACAAACTCCTCTGTGGGTTTCTTCTGTGTGTGTGTGTGTGTTTGTGTCATTATGAAAATCACTTGATTTTCTATTTAAATCGACTGAAGAAAGTTTCCATGTCTGTTTGACTTTGTTTGACTTTGTTTGCATGTTGATGTTGATCTGAAACCGAAGAATAAAAACCAGCCGGCAGTCGAGTTTCAGGTAGAATTAGAAGCAGCTGAGTTGAAACGTTAATAAAGTCACCTGAGAGTGGGCGGTACTTCAGGGTTTACCCCGATAAATAGTGAACAGGCCCCTGGGAACAGAGGCTCCACCCCCTCACTGTCACCTGACCTGTGACCTCTGACCCTTGGTGCAGGTAAAGGAGCCGAGTCGGGCTGATGAGCTGTTTGATCTTTCTGATTACGAACGCTGTGAAGAAATACGCAAGAACAAGAGTCGCAGCAAAAAGAGTCACAGCAAGTTCAGACTGCAGCGCTGCAGCACGCCAGGCAACACGGTACACCTGTCTTTCTGACTGTCTGACTACCTGTCTGTACACCTGTCTGTCTGAATATGTATCTGTCTTTAAGAAGAATAAGAATCAATATCATTCACATTTACTTAAAGATGTAACTTCAACAATTACAAACAAGTTAGCAACACGCTAACACAAGCTAAAACTATTCTACAACATGCAAACACAAGATAGAACAATTCATAATTTGTTATTAACATGTAAAGAGACAAATATCAAATTATCATCAGATAGTTCAAACATGCTAACAACCCTAACCCTGATCTAAAAACTAGTAAACAAGCTAGCATCAAAGTTTTTTTTCGCATAAACACCTATTAAATAAAAACTAAAAACAATGTAAATGCAAAGAACATTTCACAAAATGTGTGATCATGCTAACATTAAAGACACATGCTGAGAGGAGAAAAACCTAGTACTACTTGGGCTTTAGCATTCTCAAACAGGCTAATAACTGCTAATACCAAAACAAACAGTTACTATACCTACATAGTAAAACAAGGAATATAATTAAAAGTTAATTTCAAGCTTAATCATTCAAATAACTAGCTTATAACAAGTTTAAACATGCTAGAATCAAAGACAAAAGCTAATATACAGACATGCTAACACAAGTTATCTGCAATACATCTAATACAAAGTTAATAGCTAATAATAAGCTAAACATACTAACAAGAAAGTAGCAATAACATGTTAGCATTATTATAGATTCAATATTTGCTGACAATAATCAAGGTAACAAAAACATTGACAGTTAACAGTGGAAACAAAGCAACAAGCTAATGTTTAATTGTAGCTGGAAGCTAACAGTGATGTAGTTGACGTTAGAGTTCATGTTAGTTTGATTGTGTTCATTTGTAAATCATTTAAATAAGGTGAATGTTTGCGGTGTAGGCTCCGAACCTGATCTTCCTGGCCGTCAGTCCTGAGGAGAAAGAATCCTGGATTAACGTCCTAAACGTTTCCATCACCAGAGCGAAGAACAGGATCCTGGACGAGGTAAAGACATCACCCTCAGATTCATGTGATAATAACATCAATATTATAATTCAATTAAAAAGATAATAATATCAATGTAAAGTCTGAGCAGCAGAGTTCTTGGAGCAGTGGCATCAAGGACAAGGTCTCGACCAATCCTGAGTCAGTATCAGCTGTCAATCATGACGTCTCCGCCTGTTTTTATATCATCAAATAACGATTTAAACCAAACTGATGAGAAACACTTGAACAAACGTCAGTGATCGAACGTCATCTTTGATTCTTTAGTTTGGTCCATGTCCTATCTGCTAACATGGAGGAGGTTAATGAGTAATACTGCAGCCAGACACTAGTGGCTGATCCAGATGATTTGGCTTTAGTTTAGGGATCCGACATGTTGTTTATCTGCAGTTTATAGTTCAAACCGACAGTTTGTTTGTCTCCTGTGAAGCTCGCAGTCATGAATCTTTATTTTTATTCCAGGTTCAGTGATTTTCTCTGCTCTGTGTCACTGACGACTGATTTTACAAACTTCCTGTCGTCGTGTTTATTTCAGTTACAGCACCAGAAAGTGTGTCTGCTGAATCACATGCAGACAACAACCTTCGCCTTTTTTCCACCAATCAATACTCTGATCAATACTCTGATCAATACTGGTTCTCTCAGCCATCGTGTTCGCGACTGAAAGAAACGTTCATGTCATCGATGTTGTTTTTTTCCATCCAAGTTCAAATCAGTGTAAAACAACAAAGACACAATCTGATCATAGTTTATAAACATACACAGTTGTATTCATATAAACATGAATAATCAATATAAGATAAGATAATGTTCTTCTCGAGAACCCAGTAAACCTCATGTCTGATCTGTTTGGCACCAAATCCTAACATCCATGATCTCCAGACTCTTCACAGAGAAGGTGAAGAGCTTCAGATCTTCTTCATCTAGAGAAACCAACAGGTGAACCATGAGCAGCACTTTGAGTCTGTGGAGGAAATGATGGTGCTGAGTTATTAGTATCATTACAAACATCATCATTGTTGTAATCATTATTATTATTAATGACACATTATTCATATTATTATTGAACTGACTTTGGCTTTGAAGAGTTGGAGGTTTTTTTATTCACTTCAATAGACAGCTTGATCACAGCAGCATCTGGTGGTGGTTAGAGGAACTGTAGCTGACGCGTTGTGTTTCAGGTAACCGTTGACGACTCGCAGCTTTCACATCTGACTCGAGATCGAGTGAAGATTCCTCACAATCGTAGACTGCCGAGCAGAGGCCACCTGCTGGCCGTGGTTAGTATGACAGTTTCAGCATCAAATGTTGTTCTTTAAGACTCTGACAGCTGAGGATATTTACAGCTGTTTTATAAATAATAAAAGACTCCTCCTCCTCCAGGCCTCGACGTCGTTGTTGGACGGGACTTTGACTCTGGACCTGATTCAGGAGGAAGGCGCTCCACCAAAGGAAGCAGTCGTCTGCGATGCGCTCAAGGTCAACCTGGAGACATGTCTCCTCAGTCCAGACTGTCCCAGGTCCAAAACTGACGGCACTCTTTCTGCCAGGACTGCTGATGCTTCTGGGAAATCCCACAGCCTTCCTCGTGAGGTGGCAGTGGTGTGGAAGCAAACGCCTCAGCCAGGACAGCATCTGACGCCGGCAGGGAAGAATCGCTGCGTCTCCATGGACGAGATTCTGTCACATTCAGAGAGTAAAGTTACTAAGAACAAGACTGCGACCATGTCAACACCGACCGCCACCGTGACACTGATCAACCAGCTGCAAGAGCTGATCGGCAAGAAGCTGCAGAAGACGGAGCAGCTGCTGACAGAAGTGCGGTGGGAGGCGAAGGGGGAGGAGCCGGCCGAAGCAGAGAGACTCCTGAAGGAGGCGGCGACCACCTGGCGTCAGGCCCGCGAAGTTCTGGAGGAGGTCAAGGAGCTGAAGGTGTTGTATCGAGAACTGGACTCACTGTCTCCCCTTAGCAAGAAACCAAACCCAGACGTCAGAAGCTGATGTGACTCAGTCTGGTTCAAACCGGTTCAGTCCGGACCAGAGAAATTCAGGGTCAGGAGGAGACTGATCAGTGTCGAGTGATGTGAAACGTTCAGAGAAAGAAAACGAACAGAAATCCAGCTGAGGTCACGATTCTGTCCTCAGCTACAAAATGTCGGAACACACCTGTGGAACCTTCACTTATCTGAAGTCTCTGATCAGACATTAGGAAAATGTGCCAAGACGAATTGGACCCGAGGAAAAACCTCATGTTCTACATCTCCGTAATTTCTGCTCAGATGACGTGAAGAGGATGAAGTTTTATGCAGCTGGACACAAACTGGAGAACAGACGGTACGAGCGCAGAATTTCATTTCCTCCCAATGTGAGGAAGTCAATCGCGTTCATGTTGACGGATCGTCTCCATCACATGGAGATGGTTCTGACTTTTAAATGGACGAAAATTGTCGTAACATGAAGTGACAGGTTCAACGTGAAGGAGTTAAGCCTAGTTTATGCTTCTGCGTCACGTCTACGCCGTAGCTACGGTGTAGCTACGCCGTAGACGCAGACCCCTACGCCGTAGCCTGACGTGCGCCTCCCAAAAATCCTAACTACGCGGACGTCGACGGGGACCGTAAGCGCTGTGATTGGTCCGCTCAGAACGTAAGTTCCGGCAGTTGCTTTTCCGGTCTTTCTTCCTCGTCGTAAAAAMCASCTCCGCAAACGTTTTCTTTGTAGCTTGCGCTTCAACATTTGCAATATAAGCATYTGTTCTTCAWTWTTGATGAGCTCCAACARCWMAWACAGCTGCTSCACCTCGGTCRCCATTGTTTACTRTTGTTTACTTTACGGAAGAAAAAGCGAGGATTCGGCTAWAACCACACAAACACACCGCTACACCCCCTAGCGGCATGGCGGTGAATTGCAGAGCAAYGCGTTCCCTCGACGCAGAACTTCGAATGCTCAACGACCTACGCCGTAGGTACGGCGTCGACGTGACGCAGAAGCATAAACTAGGCTTTAGTGACATGCATGATATTTAGAGACATCTGGTGGTGAAGTTACACATTACAACCAACCTCGAGGAGACGAGAACTGAGAGCAGCATCAGACACGTCACACATTGTTCTCACACGTGTTCACATTGCGCACTAAAGAATTTTGTCTGAGACACGTACGTCTAAACATCTGACTCACTTTAAGTGAAAACAAAGATGTCGTATTTTATGAAACGCATTCCTCTTCCATCAAACTGTCTCTCCGAGGTTTTTTTGTACCTGGTTTGTTTCTGGTGTCAGTTAAAGAGTTAAAGATGAAAGGATGTCGGCCTTCAATACAAAAACTTTATTAACACTGACAGAAACAAATCAAATCAATGAATTTCTGTTCTGAGGCGACGTCAGTAAAATCTCTTAAAGAGGTCAAACTTGCTGAGTCATCACTTTTATCATTTGATTTTCCTCATGTCCGATCTGTTTTCTTCTGACGTCATGATTCTGAAATCAATCTTGATTCACTTTGTTTCTCAACATCAGAATAAAGTAAATTTGGAAAATGGAAACTTTGACTTGAATAAATTAAGTTTGATCCGTAAACGTCTTCACTGATTCATAACTTGTCAGTGACGTCATCAGGCAGCTGATCTGAATCCAGCCGATGGATGTGATGACGTCATCAAGAGGGAAATTTACAAGAACCGACTGTTTCACTTCCTGTGTGTGAAGCCGCAGCCAAGTCCTTTACTCCCATATAAGGAACATGTGTCTTTGTTCATGACAAATACGATGAGCAGCTGTGGACACACACACGAACACACACATTTAAGTAAAATAAAAGTGTTCTTTCAATTAAATATTTCAAATGTTAAAGGATGTTTTTAACAAAATTAACTGAGCTGTGTTGCCACTGTGTGGTGATAACCAGAACTGCAACAATTCAGAAGATATCTTTAATAATTTTAAACATGTATAAAAAAAACATTTATTCAGGTTTCAATAAAAAAAATTGCAGTTTGTAAATGTCTCTTTAATTTCTATGAGTAAATAAAATAATTAACCGGACGCAAGAAGAAAATGTTTGATTCACATTTCATGTTCTTTTTAAGTTTGTGTCACAGAATCAAATGTACTAAACTTCCTGTCATGTGACACTGGTTGTCATGGTTACAGCTTCAGCTACTGGTCTTACACTGTGACAACAGGTAAACAACTAGCATGATGGTCATCGAAACATTTTCTGATTAATTATTCATTCTCTCATTTGTCATTATTTCTTTGATCGGAATTAATTCATTTTATTTTCCAGAAAAAAACCTTGGTACCTGAATCTTTGTGATGTTAATTGACAATTATAATTTATTGAAGGAGATGACTCGACAAGGTTTGACTGAAGGAATCAGTTTTTAATCAAAAAACATCTGGTTACATCAACGATCAGACGACAGGAATAAAAAAATAAAATCCAAACCACAGAAACCAACATGGACGACGTCACTTGTATTTACACGGAGCGACAGACCAGAGCGGCCGCAGCAGAGGGCTCAGCGAGTAACAGTCGATTTCATAGTCCCAGAGTACACGGGGGTAGTTTTTTTACTAACTGAACTTCTGGTTGAGAAATTCCAGAGATGAAAAAAATGAGTTTCTTAAGTGACAACACGACAGAAAAAACGGACCAATAATCAATGAACTGATACAGAAAATAATTCAGATACAGCTGATTTAAAGCTTTAAAGTTTTCACTGCACCAGAAAATAACAGAACACAACGTCAGAGTCTTGTCATAAAAAATTTAAATAGTTTTTATGTTGTCGCTCAATTTTCATCTGATGACAAACCAGCGGTGTGTTTTTTTCTTACAGTGTAGAGTCACTGCTGCAGCACCGACTCTACACTGTAAAAAGTTAAACATGTCAATATGGAAGCCGATCCATCACAGCTGTTCCCTGTCTGTCTGACGCACCCGGCGAGGTCGGGTGTGTGTGTGTGTTAATTATTCATCATCATCATCATCGTCGTCATCATCATCATCATCATCCTCCGCTTCCCTCTTCCTCTTCTCCCCCTGAACACCAGCGACGTCATCGTCTGACGGAAATAAGATCATACAAGTTATTAAAAACAGACACACAGCAGGTGCTGCCTGTTGTGTGTCTGTGTTCAATCTCACACACACACCTCTTCCCTATTCTTTTGTTAATGTAGTTGTTTTTCAAATCCAACATGTTGAACAAGTTTTAATAAAACATGTCGAACATGTATGAAACAATAACGTTCATACATAAAAACCACACGTGAACAGAATAAAGAACATCTTGTAAATAAAAAGGGACGATGAACCAAGTGACAGAATATTGCAGAAGAGTTTGAGGATGAGTCACTGAGAAGAATAAAAACAAACAAACCTCCGTCCTCCTCTTCGTCCTCCTCCTCTTCCTCCACATAGTCTCCATCATCTTCTTCATCCTGACAGCAAACATTTACAGTGAACGATAGCACCTCTCTGTGGTCACAGTGTGAAACTACAACCTGCTGATTCTGAGTTAACGTTATTAACCAACTCGTCAGAGCAAATCACCTGACAGGAAGTGACATCACACTTCAAATATAATATAGATTGGCCACACACACCTGGATTCCCTCCTTCATCAGGTACGACAGTCCGACCTCTTCTCCTTCAGACTCTTCATCGTCCTCGTCCTCATCTCTGGTTGGTCCGGCTTCATCGTCATCATCTGGAACAAAGTTGGAACTCAACGTCTGATCTGATGATCACCTCACGTCTGTGTTTCCATGGAAACTCTTACAAACCGTATCCATGTTAAAATGTTTTTCTCGCTCTCACCGTTGTCGCCCTCAGAGTCTGGAGCCTCGTTGTCGTCCTGGTCGAATCCGTCCAGGTATGTGAGCTGAGGCAGCAGCTCGAACACGGCCTCTCTGTAGTCGTCCAGCGTCGTCACCTCACAGCTGTACAGGTCCAGACTCTTCAGGTTCTTCAGGCTCTGCTGCAAAGACACAAAGAGACACAAAGAGACGCATCGTCTTTATTCCACTTTTCAAACTAAGGCCCTCTTCGTCCGACCACTTGGCTCTGACCCTACTCGTTAATAGAACTCGCCCCTTTAATGTGCGTCTGTTGTGACCCTGCAGCAGCAGGATGTCCTCAAATCAACGGATTGTGTTCTCAACGTACGTCGCTTCAGCTAAACGCTTCAGCTAAACGCTTCAGCTAAACGCTTCAGCTAAACGCTTCAGCTAAACGCTAAGTAATGTAAAGTTCGTCCAATGAGAGCAGGAAGCAGAATGATGTTCGTCTCTGTGTGGTTTAACTGGTGGTTCTGATGGACACGCCCCTCGCTTCAGGACCTGGTGTGATTGACAGGTCAGACTCACCAGAGGCTCGACGCCGCTCAGCTCCTTGATCTTGTTCCCGCTCAGGTTCAGGGACGTCAGATTAGGACACTTCTCCACCAACTTGTCCAAACCCCCGGAGATGGTGTTGTCGCTCACCTCCAGCTGAAACACACACACAGACACACACAGTTAGAGGCCATCGGTGATGTCACAACATGGCCACCGCTGCACTGCATCACTCACCTTGTGTAGTTTGGGGAGCGACGGCAGTTTGGAGAGAGAAGTGAGGCCGACGTTCACCAGGCTGAGGATCTCCAGCTCCGTGTACTCGTCCGTCAGCCCCTCCACCTCCCCGTCACCGGAGCGACAGTTATCCAGCACCA